CGTTCTTGCGTCATTTTGCTCATTTTTGCTTTCTGAATTCATGAAGGACTTGGCTAAGGGGTCGAAAGAGAAAGCAGCGAGAAGCCGCGAAGGATTGGAAGCTACGAGATGCTGCAACATCTGTAAAGCTGCTTGATGTGTTGATGGCGCCTAAGGCGCTTAGGAACTGCTTGAGCTTTGGTGCTGTACGCTTTCAGACACTCCGAGTCCCTGGTGATACGCAGAAAACGTGGTTTTTCTTACTTTCGGGCACAGCTTGGCAGCTTGGCAGCTGCACTGGAAAATTTCCCGCCCCGGGCGCGAGCTATGGATTCCGAACTCTTGAGCACCTCACGCGGGTGCTGCAGAAATCTTCACGCTTGCATCCACTTGCCATACACCCCAGAACACACACTCTCGTTCTCGAACGTCAGGGACTCTGCAGATACGAACTGCCTGTTGTGGGAGTGCCGTTGCGGCGACTCGAAACTCGTGCCAAGCTGTGGAATCGCCGCACTCGAAACAAAGTGAAGCATCGTGACCTTACATTCAGCCCGCGCACACAACTAAACAAACAGACTCCGCATGTGATTCTCCTGTCGGATGTAAGGTCAACTCTTTTTCATTTCAGACGGGACATGGTTTTGCCTTCCCTCTCACGACTCATGACTCTCTCATGATGCCGATACGAGCAGTTGTCGTAGAAACTGTCTTGGGGCAGTGGCATCGCCGCATACGAAACAGATGCAGGCATCTTTGTCTTATGCGAAAGGATGCGGGACGACAGGGCCCACCAGCAGCGCAGCCAAGAGACTCCTTGGCGAATACGACGGAGGGGGCCTAATTCTGCCTTGACAAGCCCGGGTCACATGAGCGACTGCCAAAACCTGCTGGCAGTGCTATTGGACACAACATGAGGCGTGTCGCTTTTCATGCGCTCCCACCGCTTTACAGGGTTTTCGCATCAGTTATCCACGCTTGATGTCTGCAGGTGTCGATTTGGGAACATTCAAGGTTACATCCCACCACAACGGCTCATTTACTTAGGGGTCTCGTTTTTCAGGTGTTCCCATCGCTTTACAGGGTTTTAGTCGTTCGTGTCCACCCTTGTTTGACGTGAATGGCTGGGGTTTTTGGCGCTTGCTCACATAACGAAACGCTGTCCAAGTGTCACACCCAGCACGGCAAGGCATGCGGTTTCATCCGTTGGACGCCAGGCTCTTAGGCGAAAGGTCAATAGCTTTAGGGCGGAAACTGCTGCTGTTACATAATCCACAATGAAGGGCCACCCTGACACAGATGCTGGTGCTCCTAGCGATCCTCGGGAACAAGATGAGACGTCTGTCCAGCACAGAGACATCCAGGTGTGATGCTGTATTGAGCATGTTGTCTGCACCCCGTCCTTATCGGCAGTGGTCCACAGCTCCCCAGCTAGGTCCATTCACGGGATTAACTTGCTCCACCTCTCAAGTACGAGGGTGAGCTGGCATTGCTCTACGTGTTGCTGGCCAGTTGCAACCCGTGGCCTGAAGACACCGCAGTAGGGGAGCACCGTGCTCGCGCAGGACTGTATACAGCTGTGAGTGACAGATGCGGACCACGATGGTTGTGTCGGGCGGGTAGGTGCTTGAAGCGGAGTGCCGTACTCAGGCTGGTCTTGTGGTTGCTCTTGGTCAGATGCAGCCGGCACTCGCAAGCCACACATTGCAGGCATCCTTATCCCCCGGAGCCTCCTGCAACCGTGCTGGAAACCGGACGACGATGGTTTCATCTGCGCCCTGGTGAACATTGCGAAGACTTGGACTCCAGGCTCTTGTGCGCACAGTCAAGAGCTTGACTGTGGAAATTGCTGCTGAGACATATCCTACGATGAGGACAGCCGCAAAAGCCGAGCGGAGCCTGCAAGTGCACGGCACGGAAAGCACGCTGTAATGGCATGCGCAGGGTATCAGGGCGAATGCAGAAGCACGGGCGGGCTGCAACTGCAGCTGCACGCTGCAGCTGCACGGCAAGCCTGCTCCTTCACCACACCGTCCAGCGTGGCCCCAGTCCATCTCTTTCGAGATGTAGGCTTCGTCAAGAGTCTGCAAGTATGGACCCTGCCCTAAAATCCTAAACGCCTCTGCACGCCGGGCCAAGGCGGGCGGCGCGCAGCGTTTTGCGTTACATGTGCAGGCTCGCGATCCGGTTTATGCCGTGCCTGAAATAGCTTGAGCAGCACTTAAAAACTAGCAACTGATACTAACAGAAGTCTCTAAATCCTCTGAAGGTTGCTTTGCAGGCATGCTTCTGAGAAGTCACACGCGCTGGCCAAGGATGATAACTGAGAACTTCGCAAGCCTCGGCCAGTCACCGAAGCTGTCAGAAAACACAGCGTGCAACAGCCTCAAGCAGCAATGACTTGCTTCGGCTCTGTCCATGACGTGGCTCTACAGCCTCTACACTGGACTGCCAAGCATGTGGATCCATTGTCGTCGTCGTTGCATCTTTCACTGTGCACGTAGCTTGCACAGTATGCAAGTGCGAGGCAAGGGCAAGCGCGGGACTGGCTGCTGTTGGACATGCTGTCACGGCGAATGCGCAGGAATCCTGTTGCAACTCGGTCCGCGGTAACAGCGCGGCAGCTTCTGCGTTCTATGTCCAAAACAACCCAAACTACAATACTGCACACTTTCTGGGGATGCCAGTGCCGTGGCGGAGATGACTGTTGCTGCGGCTGTAAATGCACGGCAAGCCTGCTTTAAAGTGACTGGGACGTGCCGGGCCCGAAACTTGACGCATACTTCCAGCGCATGCCGCTACCTTGGCGCATAGGTCGGGCCGGACATCACTGTTGATGACAGCAAGCAAGCTCGCTGTAGCTCGGCCATGACACACAGCCCAGCCCTATGCTGCGAAGGACAGAGAGCGTGTAGTGTGTACAGCATGAAAGTACGAGGCAGAGGCAGGCGCAGGACTGGCTGCTGTTGCACATGCTGTCACGGCGACTGCACAGGAACCCTTTTACAACCCCCTCTGCAGCGGCAACAACACAGCAGCTTCTGCGTTCTACCCTGGTAAGAGCGGGAGCCTGCTGCTGCAGCTGCAGATGCCGCACCATTGCTTTCGGACCAAAGCGGCAAAAACCATTTCCTTCCTGATGCAAGCTTAATGCAAGCTTCATCAACAATGAAGCATGCAGACTCATCGTTGTAGTCGTCGTCCCACGTAGTCCGGCAGTGTGCACGATGCCTGAGTACGGAACATGCGAGTGCAATTGCTGGGCAGGGGGCCGGACGGCAAGCTCGCGTTAGCTTGGGCAGGACACAACCCAGCCCTGTTGTGCTGCAATGGACAGCGTGGCCCAAGTCCATCTCTTTCGTGATGTAGGCTTCGTCAAGAGTCAAGCATGTGGACCCATATGATCCACTGTCGTGGTCGTTGCATTGCGCACGGTGCACGTAGTTTGCGCAGTCTGCTAGTGCGAAGCAAGGGCAGACGCAGGACTGGCTGCTGCTGCACATGCTGTCACGGCGAATGCACAGGAACCCTTCTACAACCCCCTCTGCTGCGGCAACAGCACAGCAGCTTCTGCGTTCTACCACAGCTCTCGCTCTCACCGGCCTGAGACACACATGTCTGAGACCAGCCTGGTGCTGTGGGCAAATGCACCGCACCATTGCTTTCGGACCAAAACGGCAAAAGCCATCTCGCTCGTAATGGAAGCCTAATGCAAGCTTCATCAACAATGAAGCATGCAGACTCATCGTTGCAGTCGTCGTCCCACGTAGTCCTGCAGTGTGCATGATGCCTGAGCACGGAACATGCGAGTGCAATTGCTGGGCAGGGGGCTGGACGGTAAGCTCGCGTTAGCTTGGGCAGGACACAGCCCAGCCCTGTTGCGCTGCAATGGACAGCGTGGCCCAAGTCCATCTCTTTCGTGATGTAGGCTTCGTCAAGAGTCAAGCATGTGGACCCATATGATCCACTGTCGTGGTCGTTGCATTGCGCACGGTGCACGTAGTTTGCGCAGTCTGCTAGTGCGAAGCAGGGGCAGGCGCAGGACTGGCTGCTGCTGTACATGCTGTCACGGCGAATGCACAGGAACCCTTCTACAACCCCCTCTGCTGCGGCAACAGCACAGCAGCTTCTGCGTTCTACCACAGCTCTCGCTCTCACCGGCCTGAGACACACATGTTTGAGACCAGCCTGGTGCTGTGGGCAAATGCACCGCACCATTGCTTTCGGACCAAAACGGCAAAAGCCATCTCGCTCGTAATGGAAGCCTAATGCAAGCTTCATCAACAATGAAGCATGCAGACTCATCGTTGCAGTCGTCGTCCCACGTAGTCCTGCAGTGTGCATGATGCCTGAGCACGGAACATGCGAGTGCAATTGCGGGGCAGGGGGCTGGACGGCAAGCTCGCGTTAGCTTGGGCAGGACACAGCCCAGCCCGGTTGTGCTGCAATGGACAGCGTGGCCCAAGTCCATCTCTTTCGTGATGTAGGCTTCGTCAAGAGTCAAGCATGTGGATCCATATGATCCACTGTCGTGGTCGTTGCATTGCGCACGGCGCACGTAGTGCGAGGCAAGGGCAGGCGCGGACTGTCTGCTGTTGCACATGCTGTCACGGCGAATGTGCAGAAACCCTTTTACAACTCTCTCTGCTGCGGCAACCTCTATAGCCAAAACTACCACGTCAATGATGTCGCGCTTCCTTCCTGTGCATGCCGGTACAAGCGGGTAGGTTAACTCACATCTTCGCGTGTGAAGTCACATCTCCCCAGTGACACGCGGCTGGGAGCGAAGTCACATCACCCCGCGTAAAGTCGCATCACAGAGACATATGTTGAAGCCTTTCCCCCAATGTGCACGCGCCGCACGCGCATGCCCTCGACACACATGCAAAATACGCACTTGTCACCGGCACGCCTGGGAGGGGAGCACATTTTTGTCAGCATGAATGAGATTTCTGCTTGGGGGCGCAAGTGGGTTCTGACCAATCTTGGACTCGTGAATCCCCAGTGTGCACGCGCCCGAGATACGACTTTGCACCAGAAGATACGACTTAACCTACCCGACCTACCCGCTTGTATAGAGTCGGTGGCAGCGGTGGGAAGGACTGTAACTGTTGCTGCAGCTGCGTATGCATGGCAAGCCTACCTGGACTCGGCTGGGACACGCAATCCAGCCGTGCTGGTGCAACAGCACGGTGGGCTCCTGCGTTCCAGAACACAAGCCAAACCACCATCAATCAGAACAACACTTCCGCAGAGTGTTCGCATAGGCACGGCTGCTGCAACAACGAGCCCACTCTAACTCGGCTGGGACACACAGTCCAGCCCAGTGCTGCGGTGCAAGGACGAGTTTGCCGATGCCCTCGCATTGGGAATTGCTGTCGGAGTCGCTGTCCCAAGGAGTCCTGGATTGCTCGTGATGCACGTGAAGACCGTCGCAAGCCAAAGCAAGCATGGGCAGGCACAAGAATGGTTGTTGCTATCCTGCTGGCCACATTAAGCTTGTGGCAGAGTCATCATAGACACACCACACCGTACATCGTCAGAAGCTCTCCTGCTATTGATGTCACGGCCAAACTTGACAGAATCCCTTTTGCAGCTCAGCGCCACATAGCCCAGTCTGCAGTGGCGGATCAAGTGGTCAAGCTACAAGCTTTCTGGCTACGGGCGGTGTGTGCTCAGCATGTCGGTTGCGACCGCGAGATGGAGGCGATCTCGTGGGAAGTCCTCGAGCTCGGGGCTCCCCGTTGAGCCGAAAAAAACGACGCTTTATTGTCGGGGGACTGCCTCTGCCACAAACTGCCATTCCAGAGCCTTCCAGGCACAGATGTTGCCGCAAAACTTTGCACGATTCGCGCGGTGTCTCCTGTACTTTAACGGGGACCGATGGAGGCTGGCCGAAGACATCTGTCCGGCTCGCTGTACGACACCAGCACACGGGGCTAGGGCGCCAGATGGCTCTGTAGCATGCGGCGGACGCGACCCCTTGCAGGCAAGGCTGGAGAGGTACAATGACCGGCTAGAACCAACTGATGCCCGCATGCATTTGCACGTCGTCGGTGAAACGCTTTCCAATTATGACTACTTCCGCTGCTCAGTTCCCTCAGCCGGAGATAACCGGAGAGGCGTGAATCTACAGGCCGGAGGAGTGTACTCAAAGGAATAAGAGCTTGGAGGAAGCACTGCCACGAAATCCATCCGACAGCTAAGTCTTCACAAGGCCGTTTCGCCCTGTCCTGGCTGTATCCATGAGAGGCACATGTCCACAGCAGCCTCCATAGCAGCATGCAGGCGTTTTGCACGCCCGGCCGCGAGGCCGATGCAGACTCACCGTTGTAGTCGTCGTGCCACGTAGTCCTGCCGTGTGCCCAATGCCTGAGCACGGAACATGCGAGTGCAATTGCTGGGCAGAGGGCTGGACGGCAAGCTCGCGTTAGCTCGGGCAGGACACAGCCCAGCCCTGTTGTGCTGCAATGGACAGCGTGGCCCAAGTCCATCTCTTTCGTGATGTGATGTTGGGTTTATATTTCTTGTATCCCCAAAAGGACACCCAATACATACACTCACCTGATTAAAAAAGGAACCTTGTATACACTCACCAATAGCAGTAATATAAACCCTACTTCATGTAGGCTTCGTCAAGAGTCAAGCATGTGGACCCATATGATCCACTGTCGTGGTCGTTGCATTGCGCACGGCGCACTTAGTTTGCGCGGTATGCTAGTGCGAGGTAAGGGCAGGCGCGGGACCGTCTGCCGTTGTACAGGCGAATGTGCAGAATCGCTTTTACAACTCTCTCTGCTGCGGCAACATCGCGGCAGCTTCTGCGCTTTCGGCCTATAGAACAGCTAAAACTACCACGTCAATAATGTCGCGCTTCCTTCCTGTGCATGCCGATATAGAGTCGGTGGCAGCGGTGGGAAGGACTGTAACTGTTGCTGCAGCTGCGTATGCATGGCAAGCCTACCTGGACTCGGCTGGGACACGCAATCCAGCCGTGCTGGTGCAACAGCACGGTGGGCTCCTGCGTTCCAGAACACAAGCCAAACCACCATCA